CCCGAGGCCGGGCCGCCCGGATCCGACGGGCGAGAGACCGCGCGGCCGCCTCGCCTGGACAAAGTTCTCCCGGCAGCGTCATCTAGGTGGCTTTGAACCCGCGTTTCTGGACTACGGCCCTAAGTGAAAATCTTAAAATACATGTTGTTCCAGTCCTTACATGGATTGAAGCAAGTCTCTTTACTGAGATGCAGGCATGTGTTCATTTACCAATTGCTATTTGGGAGGGCTGGAGGGCGTGGGATCCAAGCACTTCCTGAACCTCCTCTGGTGGCAGCAGCATGGGGACCAATGGCACTGTGATTTGAGGCAGTCGTGCCCCAGAGGGGTAATGAACAAAAGGTCTGATAAAACTGCTCACTGAAAAACAAACACCCCCCACATTGCTCGATGTGAGAATCATGCCTGTCAATTCGCAGCCGTCATGGGAGGAGACTGCTGGCACACAAATCTATTTTGCTCTACATGCAGTGCAAGTCACTGCAGAGAAACCAACAAAGCCCTAGAACCCTTGGTTCTGGGAACTAGCTCGGTCAGGCGGAGCTCAGCTGACCTGGCCAGCTCTCCTGAGGCGGCCAGCCAGTTCACTGGAACAGGCACCTCACTTCCTAAAGGTGCTATTGTCTCCCCTATAAAGGCAGACAGTAACAGAGGTAGACACTGCAGTGTTTAGCCCAGCCTGCATCCGGTGCTGGGTGTGCCCGACTCCAGTTCTGTAGCTGCCCTTGGAAAAAGGGCCATTCCATTATTTGCCACTGCACACTCTGACCTGTTCTTTTATTTAAACAAAATTCTAAGTTAAAAGGAGGATGAGCCCTACAGGACCAGTGGTGTGAGAAGCGAAACAGGGAGGGTAGAGGGAGAGTGGGTAGGAAAGAGGGAACCGATTACAAGGAACTATATGTGACCTCCTCCCTGGGGGACGGACAACCGAAAAGTGGGTGAAGGGAGACATCAGACAGGGCAAATTATGACAAAAATAACAATTTATAAACTATCAAGAGCTCATGAGGGAGGGGGGAGCGGGGAGGAAGGGGAAAAATGAGGACCTGATACCGGGGGCTTAAGTGGAGAGGAAATGTTTTGAGAATGATGAGGGCAATGAATGTACAAATGTGCTTTATACAATTGATGTGTGTATGGATTGTGATAAGAGTTGTATGAGCCCCTAATAAAATGATTTAAAAAAAAAGAAAGAAAGAAAAAAAAAAGGAGGGTAGGCTAGACGCTATTCGCTCCATTCTACAGGCAAGCATGGAAACATCATTCCCACAATTGGGACGAGGTGGATTTGGATCTTGAGCAGTAAGTAGGCTTCCGTCTTCACATGTCCTTTTTTCCCATGACTCTGTGATACATCATTTTAAAGTAATTTGATTTCACAATGCTTTACAGTTTAACAACTATAACAGATCTATTCTCGGGCAAGTTAACTCTTGAGGCAGGCAACCAAATTACCTCACAATTTGGCCTATTTTAAGGCACTGTTAACCTCTAACTCAATTTTACAAATATGCTTGAGTCACCCAGGAGCCAAAAAGGCCGCAAAGATGAACCTGAAAGGGCCAGAGGGCCCAACAGTCCGGCCTTAACCTTCCCCCGCACTGTGCAGGAAGGGAAAGCTTGTGTTTGGGTGGCCACCAATGAGAAAGCCAAAGCAAGAGCGGCCTCCTGAAGTTACTGCCAAGTGGGTAGGGGACGAGAAGGGCAGCACCAAGGTCTAAAGAAGCCCCCTGCCTATCTAGGTGCTGCAAGACCAAGCTCAACCAAGAAAATGGCTCTTTCTTGATTCGAGTTTTAGAAAACCCCAACCTCAAGCCAGCAGAAACAAGTGGCTGGTCTCAGAATGAGAGGGCCTCGGCCACCTTCCAGTGTGTTAGGGTCAAGCATCTAGCTGGTTAGAGGGAAAAAACAATCTTTCTGGGAGACCAATAAAGGACTTCCTTCTTAAAGTGTCCCCGCCATCCCAACATGCCAGCACCACAGATTCTCCAACAAGGTCTGCGACCTCAAACTAAGAATAGGTTAAAATCCTGGATTCGAGCAAAAGGCTATGTTTGTGCCAGACTAAGATAAGGAAGCCACAAGAACACTCTTGAAGCGCCCCGTTCGAAAGCCCTCAAATGTGCTCATTAAAAAAGTTGGAACAGGATCTCACAGAAGACAAGCACTCAGTTTGAACTTGGAACTGTATTTCAAGTTCTTTCCAAGACCAGGCCCTAAGCACTCCCAGGTCAAGTATGTCCCTGAGCTTGGTCCACTGCTACTGGGAGCTTGGGCAGCCAGATCACGTGCTTGGGTGTTCACCAGCATTAACTCCGACAGAGGATGAGGTCGTGCAGAACTCCCTCCTCCTCAAGGCCAGCTGCCAGTCCTCGCTGAGCTCAGGAGGAGCGGTGGCCAAGCAGAAACCACGGGGATCTGTCCGTGGGCTAGGAGAGGTGCTTGCCACACACCCCACCCATGGTCTCTCCCTGAAGACGCGTGGTGTCCGTTCAGGAACAGGAACTGGAGCCTGCAGCACCGTGCTTTCAGCTATTCCGAGGAAGAAACAAAACGGGCGTCATCGTGACTTCGAGAACGACATCACAATCGATCAATTAAGTCTTCAAACCCCTTAGAGATGAGTTTTTGAGTGGTGGTTAGTTTCCCTGTTTCCTGCCAGATACTCACAGCCACGCAGAACATTTCACGCCCCATCACCTAGCTGGACAGTCACCGGAGCGGAGGCCTGGCACTCCCCGTTCTACGCATCCCCGACTCATCAATACCAGACGCTGACATTCTTCCTACGCACAGCTACGGGCACGAATAACCTGCAGTTCCATCCAAAGCCAGTCTGCAAGCAGTTTCTCCCGCCTCACCTGCGTCTAGTTCAGCTGCCGGATGAGCTGGTTGATGCGTTCTCCACGATAGCCAGGTGAGCCCATCTCCTTGAGGAAGCCCACTCGGTTCTTGGTAGCGTGACGGGCCACGGAGAGACCGAACGGGTGCAGGAACTGCGAGACCACCTGGAAATACTTCCCCGGGAAGGCGATTTCATGAATGAGGTCTTCCAAGCAAATGACACCAAACTTCCCTAGGAGACACCAAGGCAGAGACCTTTATTCGACACCGCACATAACCAGCGCCTCCCACACGCCCAGGCCGGCCGTGGCAGGGCTTCACGTCAGTTCTTCCCACTTCAATCATGGTCCATGAGGGTAAACAGACTGAACAGAGAAAACGAAGAGCGGGCACCCCCCTGGAGCATCAGTCGTCTCCACGCTGGAAAAAAGGCCATGCACAACAAGCTGGTCACTCGGCCAGCAGTCAGAAACAGTGGTTCACTGCCCCAAGACGGCAGCCCACTGTGCCCATTGAACGGGTGCCGCCCTCCAGTCCTGGCAATAATCCCCTCCCAAGTGGAGCTCCTGAAAGGTCTCATTCCTTGCCTTCGACAGGTAATTTTGCCTGGTCCAGCATGCCCACATTTTACTTGTTCAGATATGGTTCTGGATTCCCTGCGCCAGTCATGGCTGAACCAGCTGGAAGCCCTGGTTCTTGAGACCCTGCATCAAAACCACCAAAGACACCCCCCACCCCACCCCACCCCCGTGCCCTCTGTCAACTGGGCCCTGAGCCACAGCACTCACCCAGGTGCTCCTCAATCACCGTGTTGTCGGTCAGCGGGATGGTCTTGTTCTTAACCTTGGCTTGCCCGCGTTTCAGGATGAGTTCCCGGACAGACTTCAGGTTTGGAAAGCTGGGTGAGGCAGAGTGAGGCCCAGCTTTAAGCAGCCCTGGCCGAGGAGAGGAGGCCCCCCAGCCACCCTTCCAGAGTCAGGGGAAAGTAGCAGAGTTGCCCTGGTTATGTAATGAAGAGAAAGGAAAACGCACGGGCATAGACACTCACCAGGCAACGTTAAAAGTCCCGACTTACAGTCGGTCTAGCACTTCATCCAGAGATGACACCCTCTACACTCAAGTACAAGAGCTGGAAACTAAACCTACATCCACTGAGTTTTAAAACCAGAAGCTGCTAACATTTAGGACTGCTTATGCCACAGAAATTGTGCTTCTCTAATTCAAGCACTGACCAAAAGTCTGCTTCAAAACTCCAAGAGTTAATTTCTCCTCTCCCCATGGTTCTCAGCGGGGGCTCACAGCGGACCAAACCATGCAGGCCAGCACTGTGCACACCACATTAGCAGTACATACCACCCCCCTGTGCAGTCTGCCCCACGGTCACCAATGGACTTCTTGGCCATGGTAGCATATTCTTCAAACACCCTCAAGTACAATCTGTGATGTCTACTCACCCCCACGTCACATAGGGCTCCACCATACGCAGCATTTTCAGGGTCACGGGCGTCACTTTGACAAAGACGCCGCTGAAGATCTTCTTCAGACGAAGTCTTGCGATGGTCTTCTTCACCAGAAAACTCACCCCCTTGATCCTGAGGGGCAGAGTCAGGGTGTGCCAGGGAAGTCCATTTCCATCAAATGCCCCCCAATAGCGCGCAGCCCGAGACAAAGACACACATCCCTTCTTCAAGAGGCGCTGACAAAACAGCTGACAAAACAATCGCTTCCTCATGATGTGGGACAATGCCGGGGGGTGGGGTGGCGGGGTGGTGGTGTGTGTGTGTGCTATGGGGAGCAGAGATGGCTCCCGAAAGGGTAGAGTGAGGCTGTGTATGTTAAGGAAGCTGGGAGTTGCTTCTCTGGGCAGTAAAAGGCAGGCAAGATTTTAAGCAGATTTCTCTCTGATGGTCACTGAGGGCGTGGGCAGGGCACATGTGAGTGTGACCATGGAGGCAGACAACCCTGGAACTATAACGCCACAGCCAAAGAGGTTATGGGCAACGGGAGAGCTAAAGCGGCCAGAGCTCATGAAAAGTTAAACACCGCAGGTGGCTTGAAAGACTGGTCAGAGAGCAGGAAGAAGCACAAGAGCTGTATTGCAGGGAGGGCTGAGGGAGAGGCACATGGACGGGCATTGTGTGCCCCCCTGCCACCCCCCCCCACCCCCCCAGCACTGGCTAGACTCCAAGCCCACAGGACGGTTGCCCCTCAGAGGCCTGGACAGCCCCTGTCCAGCACTGACTGGAAAGGCCCTCTCACTTCACTTCGTCTACTTGCTGAAGGTCAGGCTCCCTAACCTTGAAAGCAAAAGCGATGCCGGTTTTGCTCAACTCTGAGCTCCTAGAACAACTTGTCTCTTAGTGGCCCGGGCTCACAGCTTCCTTCATGGCCTTAGAAAGGGGTCTAAGGGTGAACCCAATCTTCCCAGCCCCAGACTGTGCAGACCCCTGCTCCCTACCTTTGGATGCGGACAGCAAAGGCCAGGGAATGTCCATCGGGCACTTCCAAGGCGTGAGGTTTCTCCTCGAGCCGTCTGATGCGGGCCTTGTCCCGCTGCTGTCGCTGGGAATCGATCAGGAACGATTCCAGTCTCTTGAAGCGCAAGTCTTTCCCCTTTCGCTGCTACAGAGAGGACAGAGCAGCATCAGTCTTCCGCCTCCGCGTCTCCGGAGTCTCCACTGAGAGTGCCCATGGGGCTTCAAGAAAGAAAGGGGGCCACGAACTCTGAGAGGGCCCCTCGAAACTCTCCCCTGTACTCCGCAAAAGGGAACAAACACCCTCGGCTTTCACATAAGGAGAAAGCGAGAAACCCAGTAAAGTCCTTGATGAATTCAGTGAGGCATAGCCCCAAACCAGGGTAAGCGCAAATCCCTGCCTCCAAAGTCCTCACTGCACTCTGTAGTCAAAATCAGTTGGCACCCCCCCCCCCAAAAACAGGCTTTCTGCTAGCATTCATTCACTCTCCAATCCCGCCAAACGAACTGAGATGTCCCCACGCTTTCCCCCTCAACAGACTCTTAAATCCGCATTGTCTGAAGGTGTTCTGTAAACATCTGTAAAATGAGGGCATGAACCACACACCGGATGTAATCAAACTGCCGCGGCTGTCAGCCTGACAGAGGCTGGAGAAACCCAAACCCAAACTCCAATGCCTTCTCCTGGTTCCCCACCCACGAGCGCAGTACCTTCCTCTTTTCCAAAAGCGCCTGCTTTGCCTGGGTGGCTTTGAGAGCCTGATAAGCCTTCCTTTTTTTCAGGAGATTTTCTGGCACCAACGGGATCTTTTTCCTTGGCCTGTTAACAGTAAATTTAAGAAGAGGAGTAATCTTTAGAAAACACATTTTCAATGGGTTTTCAAACCGACCCAACATTCTGGGCTGTGGGAGTGACTACCGTCTTCAAATGACTAAGGGCTGAGTCTCCTTGAAACCTGGCCTTTCGGACATCGGTCTTCAGAAGGGACCCCTTATTGCAAAAGAACCCACCCTGCGGTTACCAGCCTCACGCTCGTCAACGGGCCGTTTTACTTCCACAAAACCAAACCTGGGCCGTCTAATCGATTCCCGCTCACAGGGAGCCTATTGGGGAGAGAGCTGGTGCGGAGGGTTCCCAAAGCTGCAGCTCTGTAAGGCCGCGGCCAGCCTCAACCTTCCTGCCGTGGAGGGCTGGGGGGGTTGAACGTCGACTTTTTGGTTGGCAGCTCAGCGTTCTAATGACCCCACCAGGGCGCCCTCGTTTCATAAACGCAAGCAGCGAAATCAGTACAGCCCCACTGGGTTGGAGCGGGTGCAGACCAATCTGCAGGTTGAATTCAGACGTAATACAACGGGGCTGCGTGAACCATCTCTAGCACTTTCCAGCCAGCTGCCTGAAAAGGGAACCCTTCCCTAAGCAACCGGAACTTCCCCCATCAGTCTCCCACTCCTCATTCCCATCCCCTACGATCTTATCTTTCCCTGCACCCCACAAGTATCTTTATTTCTAGCCACCGAGGCATAAAAACTACAGATGACACCGGATCCTAAACGCCCCACTCGAAACTCTTGAGAGCAAACACTTACTCTTCTTCCGCCATCTTTCCACCGGTGAGGCCTCTGCGCATGCGCACTCCGCCCACGTGGAGACGTGCGGCACCGCTTTCCGCTTACGTGACCATAGAGACGTCTGTTCTAGACCGGCCCGGAGGACCCGGAAGACCAGCGCCCCCGGGGAGAGACTGACCGGCCAAGAGGTCTTTCTAGGTCAGATCCCAGCCAAGGACGGCACAGAGCTACCTTCGCTCTCCCTCTTCGCAACCGTATACTTCCCTTTAGGTCGTCGTCAAAATCCAGCCCTTTTAACACTGTAGCCTCACAAGGCGGGGCCGCCCGGCCTACGACTTCCGCGGCAGCTTTGGCGCCGCCTCTCGGTTTCCCACTCAGCTGCGGGACGGCCGGGAGGGGCCCAGGCCGCCTCGGGATAGCCCCCGGAGCGGGCTCCCCGGAGCACGGGCACGCCCGGAGGCCTCTGGGATCGAGTTTAAGTCCATGCGGCTCTGATCCAGGCGTGGGGGGCGGGGAAGGGAAGCGTCCATAGTCTGTCTTTTGACACGAGCCAATGTGATGCTGCTGCTGCTGGACCACAGATTGTACTTTGACTCGCAAAGCTCTTTTCTTTCTCCGGATTTTAAAACATCCCTTTCCCAGGATAGAAGGAGCCATCATGTCTCACTTGCGCGTTCGTCTCTATGGTTCTGACTCGTAGGGACCCTTTCTAGCTTATGTACAGCACTGCCCGGGCCTGTGCCACCCTCGCAACTGTGGAAGCTGGGGTGCCAGTCTGCCTGATGGGGGATCCTCCCCCTTTCCCATTGTCTTCTGCGTTAACCAGCATGCTGTTCTTTTTCAGGGACTTTCCTGAGAACATGGCCAAAGTATGTGAGACAAAACAATCCTTGTTTCTAAGGAGCATGCTGGCTGGACTTCTAGGACAGATTGTTGGTTCTCTGGCAAGCCCATTGGCGCTGTCAACATTTTTGCCACGGCCACCATTCAAATGCGTCACTTCTCCCGCATCTTCCTTATTCCTGCACATGCACAGGCGGGATTGTTGGGGATCTTTTCGACGCTGGCTTATGCGTCCTTAAGGATCCAAGTCTGGTAAGCTTTGGGTTACTAGCTGCCGGGTTGGTGGTTCAAGCCCCACCCCAGCCCCTACACAGGGGATAGAGAAGATGGTCTTTTCTCCGAAAGCCTCAGCAACCCTGTAGAGAACTGTTATGGGTCAGAAACAACGCCAGGCCTGGCTATTCGGGGAGTCCCGGGGTGGTGGAAATGGTTACCGTGCTCTTGGCTGCTCTGGAGATTTGAGTCCACCCAGTGCTGCTTTGAAAGAATGGATTAGTCAGGAGGGAGGGAGGGGAAAAAATGAGCTGATAGCAAGAGCTCAAGTAGAAAAAAGTGTTTTGAGAATGATGATGGCAACATTTGTACAAATGTGCTTGAGACAATGGCTTGCTGGCTGGCTGGATGGATGAATGAGAGCTGTATGAGCCCCCAATAAAATGATTGAAAAAACTTTTTTTAATTAAAAAATAAGAATGGATTGGTAATCTACTGAAAAGAACCAGCCATTGAAATCTTTATTGAGAAGTTCTAATCTGATGTGCATTGGGGGAAGGGGGTGTGGTCACCGTGAGGGGGAGTCGGACATGACAGTAACCGGTAATTCTTTGTTGTAGAAGTCCTCCTGTGTCCTGTTGGATGTTTTTTTTAATTTTTTTTAAACATTTTATTAGGGGCTCATACAACTGTAATCCCAATCCATACACACATGAATTGTTTTTGTTTTTTTTTATTTTTTTTTCACACATCAATTGTGTAAAGCGCATTTGTACATCATTTCTCAAAACATTTTCTCTCCATTTAAACCCCCGACATTAGGTCCTCATTTTTCCCCTCCTTCCCCGCTCCCCCCTCCCGCATGAGCCCGTGATAGTTTATAAATGGGTATTTTGTCATATCTTGCCCTGTCCGACATCTCCCTTCATCCACTTTTCGGTTGTCTGTCCCCCAGGGAGGAGGTCACACACAGTTCCATGTAATCGGTTCCCTCTTTCCTACCCACCCATTCGGTGTCAGCATCTCTACCCCTGTTAGGATAACCAAAATGCCTCCAGGTTTTACCGAATGCCTCTCACCATGTATTTGTCCTAAGGGAATAGGATGATGTCATCCTTCGATGGTCAACACAGGCATTGACAGAGACTTTATTGACTGATTCCCTAACTGGAGGGCAGGGAACTTGTCTTCTAGAGAACCCTGGGTCTTCTACAGCCCCTATCACAGCAGGGGGCGCCAGAAGGACCTCATTGATTTGGCAGCTCCAGGCGTCACATTGGCATGTGCTGTGTAACTCGTCCAACCAGGATGGAGCCATGCACAGAGCTCACTGATAAATCCATGCCGACCACACAATGGCCGGGGCGTGAGGCTCATTGTTACTGACTCAGCACCCTGTCTTGTAAAGAAAGGGAAATAGAGGGGCCACCAAAGTGAGAGACATCCATTGAATAGTAAACAAGGAACAAAATGCCACTATTTTGTACCTTCCCATGCCCACAGATAAGAGAGAGATTCTGTAGTACTGCTGGTATTGGGTTGGGGGCGGCAGGGATGAGAAAAAATACACCCAAGAAGCTCTGGTGGTCACAGTGGTTAATCATTGGGCTGCTGTCTGCAACGTCAACAGTTCAAACCCACCAACCACTTTGAAGGCGAAAGACGTGGCAATCTGCTTCTGAGAAATTTAGTCTTGGGGACCCTGTGGGCACACTGCGCTCTGTGCTATAAGCCACTGTGAGTTGCAATTGAATCCACGGCAATTTGGGGTGTGGGGGGGGAGGGGGCAGTAATGACATTACTCCCGGTGGATGGAACTTTGGCGGCCAGGATGCAGGAAATGGTTGGTTTTCAGATGCCAGCCTATGGTGCTAGGGAGACACTTATTTTCCGAGTCAGGCAAAGCTCAACTGAAAACTGTTCACTAATTTGACAGGCATTGACCATGTATGCTAGCATTGGGAAGATACAAAAGGTTTGCGTGTGAGTGTATTTTTCTCTTTTTCCCAAAGTGAAGTTTACCAAATGAGAATGAGGCACGGCTGTTTAAGGAATTTATAGAACATTAAGGCGTGTTTAAGAACATTACTCTTTTCAGCTTGTCCTCGTAGGACTCTGTTCTCTACTTAGTTACTTACGTTGTTCATCATGCCCCAAACCAAACTCAACAGCCATCCAGTCTGATGCTCTGATTATTAAGGGACAATTACTGAAAGCTCCAATTATGAGAGGTATTACTATACAGAAATTTGTAACCAACATATGAGCTGTTCCAATGACATTACTAACCTGATCATCTCATTCAGACTCTTGGCAGCCATGTAGAATAGAATACCCCCGTGGGTTTCCGAGACTGCAGCTCTTTGTGGGGGTAGAGGAGTGGCTGACAGTGTCAAGTCTGCCTCCCTTGTGGTGAACGGCCCTGGGTGTAACTGCTACGCCTCAGGACTCCTTCAGCCATCACTAAGGATAGTAAGTTATGGAAGACAATATAATTGTTCAATACGGTAAGCAATCCCTTTTTCTTCAAGTCCTGAAATCCCAGTGGTGGATGTTTTTCATTTCTTGGCCTTTGGACGTCCCTACCGACTCCTAATGGTCCCTTACTCCTCTTGTGGACTGGTCTCTCCCAGATCATTTCATGGATAATCTTATCTCCCCCCCACCCCCAAACCATTTTATTAGGGCCTAATCCAGACATCATCCATTCCATAGTTAATCATATCAAGCAGTGTTGTAACAATTGATACCACAGCAGTTTCAAACCATTTTCTTCCTTCTTGAACTCCTTGAGATCAGCTCCCCACCCTCACCCCCACCTCCCCCACTGTACCCCGGGAACCCATATTCTAGTTATTGTTTCTATAGATCCAGCTATCCTGGATTTCATACACTGAAACAGAGGTATGATATACAATCTTGTTTGTGTCTGTGAAGGGCTATCAAATCCAAATTCTTGACTTCTCATACAGAAGTTGAATGGGTCTTGGGGAGAGCTTTTCAGCTCCTCTCACTTCCTACTAGAAGGGAATTATTAGAACCTATCTAAACGCTATTCTTGCCTCTAGGGGGTTGAATCTTGAGCTGTGTTGATAGGAGAGGGTTTGGGTAAGGCTTTATATTACTCTCCCCTGCTCCCCCACCAATTAAGACTTCCCGGACTTTCCTTATTCCTCTTTCTCAAACCTGGTTGGTTCGGTCCTCCCTTTAATTCTCATCCTTCCTGGGGAGAAGGGGAGCTTCAAAAAGTGTGTGGGAAAACTCTGTTCTCTCTTCATTTCATTTTTCCCATGACCTTTTTGACACCCTTCATTGAATCAGTCCTTTTGTTGGCTAACTAGAATTGGTTTCTGTTACTTACAAAGAATCCCGGCCATTTGGTTACATTTGAGAAAGCATGGTGTAAGAACACCACAGCAAGTTTTTGTTTCTTTGGGAGGGGGGGTTGTTATTGTTATTGCTGCTATAAATGCATTTTCACGTAACAACTTTGGAAAGTAAGTGTTCGTGGAGTTATTTTTGCAAAATGGGAGTGGGTTTTAGGATGGAAGACTCATATTTTGTAGCATGCCCTTTCCTTTAAAAGCTTGTCTTAAAACACGCGGCCATCTAAGAGAACTGTCAGCTAAGTGCACACTGAAGAAGCATGTTAGCCCGTGTGATCCAAGGGTTGTAAATAATGAACTCCAAGACCAGAGGAGGGAATTGGATTAGAGCTTGAATTCTGAGTGTTCGGTTTGCAGAGGGCTATGGATCACAGTGAAAGTCCCAAATCCACTTGCAGAGTGCTTATGTGGATTTCCCCTCTGACCATTGACCAAGGAGTGTGTTGGGAAGTAGGTTAATGCGGTTATACAAAACAAACAAACAAAATCACCAGAATCACTGCCATTGAGTTGGCTCTGACTCACAGTGACCCTGTAGGCCGGGGTAGAACTGCCCACGTAGGTTTCCAAGGCTGTTGACTTTGTGCGGCAGCAGACGCATGGTCTTTCTCCTGTAGAGAAGCTGGTGAGCCCTGGCTGCATACCATGTGGTTAGCAGCCCAACATGTAACCATG